TTGTACAAACCGTCACAAGCGCATTGATACAGAATTCTGCTGCCAATAGATAACACAGTCGAGGGAAAGCAGGCTCACTTGTTCCAGGAAGAGTCTCCGTCACAATACTCATGAACACAGCAATTGCTAGGAACACAGTAATAGTAAAACCGACACGTTCACCAGACTCAGCGGGGAGAAGGAACACCATGACGTTCAACAGTCCTAAAATACTGAATGGAACTATGGTGTTTATAATTTGAAACATTGGACGTCTTTGAAGTACGATCGTCAGTTTCACTGCTTGCGTGTTTTCCACGGAATCAATTCCACAGCTTGTATCTTTTAATTCCCACATTCCGTTGGGGTAATAATAGTCTGTTTGAATATCAGCTGACACCAGTTTAATAAACACATCTGACATTGTCATCAAGGGAAGGCCGAAATATATGTAACATATTTGCTGATCAAACGGATAGAATGTAACATCAGCTGGACATGAGACCTCGAAAACATCAGTAGGAGCCCAGACCATGTTTCCAATATTACCGATACGGACCTTTTGTCTGTCGAAGCCCTGAGGCTCAATTTTGTCATAAGGATTGAAAAGTATGATATCAGGTATCCACACGGAGCTCTGGGGAAGAAAAGTATGACCAATGCCATCGAAATCTTCAGGATTCCATTCCATTTGAAAGTCATGCCAAACTATGTAAAACCTTCCAACAATAGCAAATTTACCCGTTTTTTCTTCAAATTCTTTCAACGAATAAAGAAGAAAACCGAAATAGAGTGTTGTTGGATTTGAGAGGTTAAAGGTCGGACGCAAGTCCTTGCTATAATTTGCCGTCAATTTTCCGTGAAGTCTTGTCAAATCCTCATGAGTTGCTGCTTCTATGGTTATCACTGACACAGAAAGAAGGTAGAGTAAGCACAACATGGCTGTTTCGTATAATGTGTAGATATAATAAAAGCTATAAGTACTCACCTAAATTAGACGTATTTAATCGATATATGAAGCTATTTAGTTGTGTTTTAACCCGATTGGCTGAAATAACAGAACAATGATTATGTGGTGAATGTTTGACATGACTGTAGAAGATCGATTCATACGGTCAACTATTGTCTGTCGCAAAAACGAATGAATAATACGAAGCCTTCAACTTAGTCAATAAAGTCAAAGGGAGCTAGTCTGAAATCATTGTATATAGGGGATATGATACGTCACAGAGTTTTATTGTGAATGGACAACACGTTGAAGACATGATCAAGAGTCCTACATATTGCCATTATTAGGTATTGAAAATGAAGGATCTTGTCTTCAAGTTTCTGTTCTCGTTATTGTCATGATATAATAAAAACGAAATGGGTAATAAAACATTTTTTCCTCAATATTCTTATTTCGTTCGAAAATTTGCCCCGATTTGCTAAGCGTAAATTCTTTACGCAGCTAGCTTAAAAAAAACGAACAAAGACGATGACATTTTGGCCAATTTTGTTGACTCGTTGTAAGAAATCTTGATAATTTTGAATCGTTCCAGCGCATACAATATAATCTGCCGAGGACGAGTTTGCATAAGTGATATGATATAGTTGATCGACCCGACATCTATCAATAGGTAAATGGAAGCTTGTTATGTTACACGCTACATACAATGCTCGAGTGTTCGAAATGGATTTGTTGTTCAAATTGATATATTCAGACTTTAATAACAGATGAATACAGTTTGAAATGTTTTTTCCCATCAGGGACGTTAGCTCTATCTCTGTTTATACTTAATGTTCTCATTCACCGTTCCATTTATTGTACGAATCCATCTTTCATATGTCTAATTAAATATAAACGCTAGATTTGTAATCCAAACAGCGAACTGGTTACGTAGCATTAACAGATATGGAGGTAAATCAGATGGTCTGAACGAGATAAAAATATCCCATGATGGTTACTTCCTTCAAAAATAAAACAGCAAAACGATAACTTTCATTTTATAAAATTAGGCGCTGATATCCAAATGCAGAACAAGATGCCCACCGTAATATTTAGTCGTTTATGAAAGCAACGATTTGTAATTATAGTAGATATAACTGGGATTTGTTTCATTAATTCACGCGACGTCTATTTCAATGGAAACTGAAATTTGACGTGAATGTGTCTTTAGATATATCACCTGGTGCTACCGGTATAGTCGATTCCTCCGGAGCGGGAGCATATTGAAATCCGACGTGGAACATTTCAAATTCAAATCATATGACTTGGGGATGATCCCCATGTCACATGACTGAATCACCAGACAAATCTGAAGCCTCCTACTGATATCAGTAAGGGTTGAATAAGGCAACCAGGAGGTCGCCAAAAACTACCCGTGAGTAGGTCTTAGTTGAGAGACTCTTTTAAATGTTTGTTTAATACATTTCAAAGTGTAACTCAACAGAACAGAATAGTTTGGATTTACTGGAGAATACATCAAGTCAAGGTTCTGTTATAGACCGAACGTATAACTGAGGGTACAATACGTGTTCCTTATAACAAAAATAACAAAACGATAAAGTCAAAACCAAATTGGTTGATAGTATGATTGAAATTGTTTATTGGAACGTTCAAGGACAAGCATTGATTGCCTTTAGTTAACTAGGAAAATGTAGAACAATTAACTGCATGTTTCGGTGTAAAGACTGATAATCCATTAAATGGATTTTCTTACAATCTATTAGACAATTTGTGACAAGCAAACAGTATGGTCAAATTCCTTCAGACTTTCACTGAACAGATGGTTGATCTTCAATGTCGTCCTCGCCCCATTGGTATCGAACAAGAACGACATCGTACTGGTTTTTCATCTCTCTCAAATCACTTATATTACTTATAAGCAATGCATTGTTTTACTGGGAACACTAAGAGGGGGAGAGAATGGTTCTTTTTCATTACCTTATAAGCGCAACATCAACTACTTTTGATCATATCTTTTACGAGTTGGCCCTGCAAAATGTACTCTACTACGGAACCCGCCCGCGTGTATATACCGTACACAATTAAGATACAGACTTACTCCCTTTGAATTAAATGAGTTGAAAGATCCATATAACCCCTTTTTTCTCCGATCGCCAATAGCGTATGTCTATATCGATTTAAATCAGTAATGTCAATCACCCACCACAAAATCATTACATTATTATCTTAGCCAATGAAACCTAAATTACATCAAATTAAAAGAGTTTATTGGCTTCAGTTAAGAGCAATATTGATTATATTCAATTTAGGTAAATATTAAAAGCTATTTTCATTATAACGACACGGCATACGAAACAGCCATGTTGTGCTTACTCTACCTTTTCTCGGCGTCAGTGATTACCATAGAAGCAGCAACCCATGAGGATTTGACAAGACTTCACGAAAAATTGATGGCAAATTATAACAAGGACTTGCGTCCGACCTTTAACATTTCACAACCAACAAAAGTGTATCTTGAGTTTCAGCTTCTCTCGTTGAGAGAATTCGAAGAAAAAACGGGTAAATTTGCAGTTGTAGGAATGTTCGCCATATTTTGGCATGACTTTCAAATGGAATGGAATCCTGAAAATTTCGGTGAAATTGATCACACTTTTCTTCCCCAGAGCTCTGTGTGGACACCTGATATCATACTTATGAATCCCTTTGAAAAAATAGAGCCTCCTGGCTTCGACAGACAAAAAGTAGGGATATATAATAGTGGATTAGTGATCTGGGGTCCTGACGATGTGTATGAGGTAACGTGTCAAGCTGATGTTACATTTTATCCGTTTGACCAGCAGAAATGTTCTTTGTTTTTCGGTCTTTACATGGTTACATTGATAGATGTGATCATTGAAACATTCTCAGATGATATTCAAACTGATTTTTATTATCCCAACGGAATATGGGCATTACAAAATACAACCTGCGAGGTTTATCCTGTCATGAACTCACCAACACTGGCAGTGACGATTGAGATAAAAAGACGTCCAATGTTTCAAGTTATAAACACCATTGTACCATTCAGTGTTTTAGGTCTGTTGAACGTTCTGGTGTTTCTTCTCCCCGCTGAGTCCGGTGAACGTGTTGGTTTTACTGTTACAGTCTTGCTAGCTATTGCTGTGTTTATGAGTATTGTGACGGAGACTCTTCCTGGAGCAAGCGAGCCTTCTTTCCCTCGACTGTGTTATCTATTGGCGGCGGAACTCTGTATCAATGCGCTGGTGACGGTTTGTACAATCCTAATATCAAGATTAAATCATAAACCGAAGCACGAAACTGTTCCCTTTTGGCTTCAATATATATCATGCAAATGTATTTGTTACCACGCAAAAAAACAAAATAAGTGATAAACATCAAAACAACACCGATCTAAACAACCAAAGCACCAGTTGCATAGAAACTGTGGTCACAAGGATTCGGGAATCGGAAATAAATAATACAGGAAGTGAAAAAGGTTTGGAATGGAACAGCAACAATGCTGGAAATGGAAACAGCAGGCCTCAACCAGAAGGAAAAATCACTTGCGGTAAAACGTCTTGGCAGAGTGTGGCACATTTTCTTGATGGGTTTCTCTATGTTTTTTTCATAATGATTTTCCTCTCAAACAAGATAGTCGCATATGTTATATTATCTTAAAATGCATATAGTGTAAACATATGTAAATAACCGATTTCATCAATAACCGCAGGAGAATTTCGTTCTTTAACCTGAGTTGAATTCACGTACCTCTGTTAACATTTAAGTTCTGTTTCATAAAAAACACAGAATTGACAAGCACTAATATTGCGATCCAGTTTGAACTTCCTTTAAGGTGGGTCCATCCTTCTCAAATTTAGCGCCACTGCGCAGGAAGCTGCGCATGTTGGCTAAATTTCAGTATGATTTACGGTAACCTAACGACACCACGCTTGGATTTAAAAACTGTTATCGACAATTATTAACAATAATTAAGAACGTCAAAAAAAATGAAGACTATCCAGTCCGACCATCTTTTATATTTAAATAATCGTATTTTATGTAATATTGAACTCTCGTAAATAGGAACGAAAGTCGTTTACACCGGAAGTTTACTATCGCAGCTGATGACAGCGATATGAGAGCTGCTGAGGATGAAGTCTGAAAGTGGAAGAATATGTGCTTTCCGTTGTTATTGCTCACTTATCTACATGTTGAATAGAACAAACAATAATCAGAGTTTATCATCACGTGAACGGAATAGGTCATTTCGTACGATGGAAGAATTATGACCGTCTCCCATCACACTGACGGCGACAACGGAACAGCTGAAGGTCTCGACGTTGAACGTTTCATTCGAAGCATTACAGCAATTCCGTCTTGACTGTTGACAGAGATTTTGTACAGAAATAATAAATAAATGGCAGTGTAAACAGCTTCAAGTGATAGTCTGAAAACAAATGTCTCGAGTCATCGTCAATGACCCCAAGGACCCATACCGAACCGACACGAGTAGACGAGTTGCCACAATGAGGTAAATATATAGTGTCATATTATATAGTGCTCGTGCGTTTATGCAGATTGTCAGATTGTTTACTTTTTTATTATACTCTCAGCAAACCCCTGACCAAACTTTTTTTTCACGCAGGATAAATAAATGGCAGTGTAAACAGCTTCAAGTGATAGTCTGAAAACAAATGTCTCGAGTCATCGTCAATGACCCCAAGGACCCATACCGAACCGACACGAGTAGACGAGTTGCCACAATGAGGTAAATATATAGTGTCATATTATATAGTGCNAGCCATGAGCAGCTTTCTAGGTTTAGGAAAAGCAGTGGTAGGAAATACATTAATATATTACAGGTAATTTTCCTTCATTTAAATTGTAATCTCCGTTTTAGGCAGTGAAATTTTGCTTATCAGGTTGCATTTCAACTCAAAACATCAAAGCAAAATTTTATTGAAAGATTTCAAAATTAGTAAACAAATCACTTTGTTTCTTCTTGTATTTGTAGTGTTTTGTGTATAGTGTATCATTTTTTTGTCAAATTAAATTCATATCTGAACAAATCAGAGTAAATTTTTAAAAGATGCAGTTTTTTTATTATTACAGGAAGTAAGGACAGAAAGTAAAATGCAATAGGCCAAACCTGGATATATCAAATCATAGAGAATAATTTACAAGGACATAGGTCATCATAACAGGGGTGGAAAATGAATATGATAACCAGGCAATAGCAAAGTAACAACAGATAATTTGATAAATGTCATATCAAATGTGACAAAACCCCATATACTAAAATCTATCATGTGAAAATGAATGTGTAATAGCTGCTGCTAATGTCTCTTT